GGTAGTCCCCCCGTCCCCCAGCGGGCTTAGTTTAAAGCCCGGTGGAGCAGGTCAGCCAGTCTGGCTGAGAAGAGCCTCCTCCCTAGGGGAGAGAGGTGGAGGCCATCTCTTCCCAGCAGCTCGCTGCCTCTCTCGCCAAAGAGCGGGCTGTGGTCATGAAAGCCAAAGCCTTCCTGACGACACCAGCACTGCAGTCTTTGGTTGACCCAATCCAGCCTCTGTGTCTGCTGGCACATGCCCCTGGAGGGGCAGTCTTTTTTTACACTGGGCTCATCCAATGTCAAATTTTGGTGCTGCACCACAAATTTGCAGTGCAGTGAATGACTGGATACACACTGCATGCGGTTTGCAGTTCTTCAGACATCTTTGATGCATCACAAACTCCATGAGTACACTCATCTGGACATGCCTTCAGAGCCCCCAGGAGAGGAAGTCTTAGAAAATCAGCTGTGATGCATCAGCAGAAGGGGAAGGAAGAAAGGTCATTCCTAGGACTTGGGAAATCCAAGTTCAGTTCTCTCCTCTGCCACTTACCTCCAGTGTGGACAAATAATTTGTCTGTTTGTGCCTTAGCTCCCATTCTGTGAACTGGAAGTATTAAGGCAGAGGTTCCCAACCCCTGGGCTGCAGCCCAGTACTGGGCCACGATGGGTTGGCTGCTGGTCTGCAGGAGGATTGGCTGCTGGACCGGAAGTCCAGAAGTGACTGGCGTACTGTGGACTGGCAGCCAACCCTTTTTTATACTGAGTATAAAAAAGAGTTGGCTGCCAGTTCCCAGTATGCCAATCACTTCCAGTCTGCAATATTCTAGTCCACAGTTTGCTGGTCTGCCATCACTTCTGGTCCGCGGTCACTTCTGATCCACGGTTTGCCGGGCCATGGTCTAAAAAGGTTGAGAACTACTGTATTAAGGCCCACAGGTAGATAATTACATTGGAGATGCGTTTAACTTTATTAACAATGAATACAAGGATTAGGAAAGGATTAGGAACTGTGAGGCACTCAAGTACTGTGGTGAGGGGAACTATTTCAATATCTGTGATAGACAGATAACAATATTATCCCTGAGGCTGGGAAAAGGTAAAGGTGAGAGTGGTGCTCTGTAGAGGGAGGAGAAGGCAGGAAGTTATTTGGTTAGTGTTATGTCCATCATATTCATGGCTGTAACAAGGCCCTGGCTGTAACAAGGGAGTTTGTGGCTAGCATTTGGGAGGGATGTGTCTACAAACTGCTGGGCTCTTTGAGAAATGTAGGCCTTGCCAAACTAACAGATTTGCTTGGTCTACAGGGCAGTTACTGATAGGGCCAGATCCTGCCCAGCTTACAGTTTTCAATGGGGCCAATGGTCTGGGGTAATGACTGCGTGTAGCACCCTGTGTGCATCTGGCTGGGTTTCTGTCACATGCTCTCTCCAGCAAAACTCAAGGTAATTGGATGTGAGTACCAAGGTGTACACTAAAACATCTTGCTTTGTGCTGTTGGACAGTGTCCTGTCAGAACCCTATGTGCTGGGAATTGCTGTCTCCATAAAACTAAAGCCTTTGTGGGGGAAAAAACTAATTTCAAACAAAATGGTTTAAGGTTTCTTCCCCCCACCCCCACCCCCACCCCCACCCCCTTCCCTTTTGGTTACAGGCAAAACTGCAAAGCTTTATTCTGATTGCAGGGAAGGGCAGCCCCCCTCATTTGTCTCACTTTTCCTCTTCCTTTTCCTCTGAGTGAATGGTTCAAGTAGTATTGGTTTTTTGTTACCAACAATTATTTTTTTTAAATAACACAACAACAGCAAAGGAGTCCCTCAAATGTAACAGGGAATTTTAAACAGAATGAAAAATGTGTTTCCTTTTCTTTGAAATATAATACTATAATAGCCATATAGTTTCATATAACAGCCATAACACATTTCCCACTGGCTTCTGAGCAGCTAGACAGAAAGTAACCTGGCCTGGGATCAGAGCCATAAGCTTCAGTTCCAGGCTTAACCTGCCCCAGATCTCAAAACCCAGGCCTCTTCATTCAAACAGAGCCCTAATAATGAGACCTCCAAAGAGGAGAACTGCATGGATTATTGTGAGAACACCTCACTAGTGTCAGCAGGAGGTGGAATCACTCGCTGGATCAAGCCCCAGGTGCTGATTGGTGCTGAGTCCCTGTTGCCCCCAGTAACATCTGTTGGGACTTTGGACCACTCAGCTACTCTTAGAAATCTGGCCTAGTGGTGAGCAGTCCTAGCTTTGAAGGAAGCATCCTAGGAAAAAGTATCTAAGAAGCTTCCTGAGCAGCGGTCTTAGACTCACCTGGGGCCCTGGGCTGAATAAAGGCCACGAGGCTCCTTGTGGGCCAGATCCAGCCCAGGGCATATGGGTGGCTGCCATGGCCATAGTAGCAGCACATCCAGAGGCAGTGAGGGGTCAGGTAGCAGATGTCTGGTGGCAGGAGGGATCTGGCAGTGGCAGTAGCAGGTCTGGAGGCAGCAAGGGATCCAGGATAAGGGTCCTCATGGTAGTGGGGGTCCAGCAGTGGCACTAGTGATCCAGGGATGGGGGACTTCTTGCCACTGCTAAACCAGCAGCTGTGGGAGTCAGGGGGCATAGTGGGGGACTAGGGGTGGCCAAGGTGGTGGGCCAAGCGCCTCACTGATGGCCCTGGCCAGTGGGGCCAAAGAGCCCCACATTCTGTGGCAGTCCACACCTCCCAACTTCCAGTATCCCAGCAGCTGGAAAGAGAGGCTTCACATGCCATGCGTTTGACTCCCCTGCCCCAGAGCATCCTTGCCCTGCAGTAAACTGCTCACCATGGTGCTAGCGGTGTTGCCACCATTGTGCTGGTGTGTGTCCTGCTGGAACTCCCTTCCCAGACATCCAGATGAACAGAAGCATGCTGGTTTCTTGCCAGCGCTCTCTAAGTAGGAAGAAGAACTTGGGCTGCTCCTCTTTTGCCCTAAAGGGAGTGTCCGTTCTCTCCAATCCTCCTCACCCAGGGTTTCATCTGAAGTGCAGTGGAGTCATAGTGGAGGTTCCCAATGATTTCAACAGACTCTGGTCAAGGCATCTCACGAGTAAGTCCCCAGCCATTCCCCACATCTGCCTGGGATGCGAGGGGATGCTCTGTGATCTCCTCTCCACAATGTAATTATTACTTAAAAATTGCACAGGGCCCTAATGAAAAGCAGGCATAGGCTGCCACCTTAACTAGGGGCTTCCCCTGCTTTGTGTGTGGTCACACAAGGTGTTGGTAGCATGATCATCTCAGACCTGAGATTCAGTATCAGTGTGTCTTGGGCTGATGCTTGCATTATGCTCTCTAGTACTGATTACTCATAATATCTCATATGCAGTAAGCAAGAAATCCCTCTTCCCTTAGTATTAAAGAGTGATTGTTCTGTAATGAGTGATTCTATTGCCTTCGGCAGTTCTGCTCCCTGTGTGTGTCCAGGGTGGTATTTGCTGATGTGAGCAGTTAGAATAAGCCTTTACTTCTTTTTATACTGAGCAGACCTGCTCATGGGAGATTCTGATCTTCCCTCTGCAATACTGGCACAATGGTTAACTGTATTTCCTCCTCAAACACACCTGGGCAAATGGCACTGGGGCCAATGTCACTAAAAGCTGAGCTGGGGAGCTCTTTGGCACATGGGTTGTCTTTTTCTTCCATGTCTGCTCATCTCCTGACACAATGGAGTCCTGACCCCTGCCTGGAAACCTCCAGGCACCAATATACTACAGACAGCAGCAAATAACTCACATGCTGGGAGCTGTCAAATGGTGGCAGAAGGTGTGATAAAGCAAATGAGGAAGTATCCTGTTCATGCTGACTACCTCTTATGCCTTCATGTCAGCTTCTTTCTAGAAGCATGCCTATCTCCTGTCTTGCCTTTGCATGGGGTTACACTAATACAAACCATACCCTGCAAGTTCAGTCACCAATAGTCCTGTTCTCTAGCATAGATATGGATTGATACTTCATGCGTGTGTCTACAACACTTCCCTGACACTCTTGAAGTTGCTACCTAAGACCATGGCCCCTGTGTCAGCTCCTGCTCCATATGTACCACTTTCATGATCTCTGTCCTTAGCATGCTTCAGAGTGATAGCACATGGTGGTGGGGTCACCCCATCATAAGCAAGAGGTGGGTGCATCTGTGGTCCTTGGTGGCGTTCTCAAGAGTGCTATGGAAGCAGTGTAGAGGTATCTGGACAGGCTTTATGTATAGGAGTATGTATATTAAACAGAAGGCAGAAAAGTGGCACCTTAGAGACTAACTGGTTCAGAGATGCATGAGCTTTCATAAGCAACAGCCTACTTCAAACATGTGACAAAGTAGGCTTTTGCCTACATATGATTTTTTTCCTGTGGATTGACCATTGTACTTAAGTTGCAGACTTCGTGGGACAGGGCCCATCTTTCTGTTGGGTCTTTGTACTGCATGCACCAAAGTGGCATCATGATCATTCAGAGAGACACTTAAGTGCAACCTCCATACATAATAATGCAACAGATTGTCATTTAATGTTTCCTTTGTCCCTCCAGGACCTGTCTCTCCGGGTGACAGTGGCAGAGTGTTGTGAAGATGGGAGAGCTGAAAATGTTGGCCATGTCATCATTGGCCCATCAGCCAGCGGCATGGGTATCACGCACTGGAATCAAATGTTGGCCACCTTAAGGAAACCAGTGTCCATGTGGCATCCAGTACGACGAAACTAAGGACGCGTTGACCCTCTTGCAAGTATTTTGCATGGTGCCTAAACTCTCTTCCTGTAAATAAATATTGTTGGTGAATGGACTGTGAAAATCAAGACAGAAATTATTTTTCCAAATGTTACTCTTCACGAGTTCCATTTAGTAAAAAGGAGGAGCAGCAACAGCAGAAGATGTTGATTCTTTGAATTGGATTCTGCAAGCCTTGGAAAAGCTTCAGTGGACTGAAATGTGAGAGAAGTAGTAACTCCGGTGTGATTATGTACAGATATAGCTTTTGGACAAACACCTCCCTCCTAACATTACTGTGGCAGGGATGCAAGTTTGGGATCCCACCAGCCCCAATTGTTGATGATATTATTTTCCAGTGGATGTTATACAGTTAAGCATGGTCTGTCCACTGACATTAGCAGGTTAAGGGGTAAATTTGTGATCTTGCGCCCAAACTAAATGGTTTAGGTTTGCCACAAAGTTCCCAGGAGAAATTTTACCATGAAGATTTTCACCAAGTCAGGCTGGAATTTTACCACTACGTATTTTGGCTGCAGGGAAATTTAGCTACTGAGGCATTTAATATTGTGCAGGTCTGGCAATCAAACTCTTTCTAAGATGACTTGTTGGATTGCTCCTCATTGAAAATCTTTGGTTTAAGGAGAGGGAAGGTCTCCATAAGGACTGGATCCTTGTCACTCCATGCAGGTTCCTAGATATTCTAAGCTAAAATCAATTAGAAGAGAGCAAACCATGGCATTTGAAACACAGCAGCAAAAAAAATACATCCCATTTCAGACAAAACTGAGAGAGAGTTCCCTTAGGAAGCATTCATATCGTACTTTTCCGAGTTAATGAGCAACCATCCTCTCCAAGCCTTGGTTCGACAGGGTGATATAAAGCAGCACAGGTTCTCACACAAGTCAAGGAAAGATAAGAGTCTTCAATACCACACTGGAGGCTACGTAAGATGCTGGTTCTTCCTTGTTGATTTTTGGGGTGTTCACTGGCATTGCTCGAAATGCTTCAGATTTCAGGGGAAAATGTCATCCGCATTTATTGAGAAAAGATCTGGGGGAAATTTTATAAAATGCTGGTGTCTTTTATTTTTCTCCTGATTTTGAATAATGGAAGAACAAGATGAAATGTTTGAATTTAAGTCTCAAATCCCAACCCCCTCCCAGCCACTAGAATCCACCCAGGAAATATGTCCACAGAATTTGTGACTTTTTTTTAAACTCTTCTGTTTTTTTCAACCAATTTAGGGGTTCAGGTTATGACACACTGGCCCTGATTTCCAGAGCTCAGTTGAGATTTTAGGTGCTCAGCATATCTTAACTTGGGTACTCAGTAGTGCAGGCCTCAGTTTTTACTCAAAGTTCCCTCACTGAGGAGTCAAGTCCATGTAGGTCAGGCTTACCACATATTAGTAGGGTCTCAGTAAATCATGCCAGAAGTGCCCCCTAATGTTTTTCATTTTGTTGCTTGCTCCCCCCCTCCCCCCCTCCCCCCATCAGGGAAGCAAAAACTAGCATGTTTAAAATCTCCATTAATTGGGTGAGGGAGGGGCAAATGGTGAAATGAAAAACATTAAAGGACTTGCTGCAGAGGCTACTTCTGGCATGATTTACAGAGACCCCTACATATTAGTTAAGCCCAAGCAAACTTGATCATTCTTCCTAGTCCACTTAAGCTTTTAAGTAAAGAACTCAAGAGTATAGCCAGCTCTCATGACTTCATCATGAGCCTCTCTACTTCCAGTGTTTTATAGAGCCCTATTTCTTGGAGTCATGATATCACTGGATAATCTTCACTGTCATTTTAAAAAAACTTTTCTTTCTATACCTCATGATACTGCAAAAAAAATCTCAGAACTTTAACACCTAGAGGCACAAACACAAAACAAATATAAAGACCCCCCCCAATGCATTTTTTTTAAAAGATCACGAAGAGTTCTTATGCCATTTTTTTTTTAAGTGTTGGGGTTGACTCTCAGTTTTGGAACAGTTAGGTCTACTGATATTGCTTTGATTTGGTGCTCATTTGCTTGAGAGCTGTGCAGAAATGTAGTGGGCTCTAAAAGGACCAGGTGCACCTGAGAGCTGTGGAGGTTGATTGCAAGCTTCTTGTACGAAGCATTTTCTTGAAGAATACCGTTCTCCTCCATCTTGAAACTTTGCACATCCATCCAGAGCCAAAATGTATTTCTTCACTGTGGCCTAAGTGGGTTTGAAATCACTGCTTGGTTGCAAAGGGCCTTCCATGGAATGAAGGCAGAGATTATCTAATAGGATGGAATAAAACCAGACAGCTGTTTAATTCTACCTCTAGGCAGCCAAATGCTAGGCAGGAGCTGGCTTCAGCATCTGGACAGAGCCATCAAAAAGAGGAACATCTGGATCAAGCCAATCTGCATTGCGGATGGTTTCTTTGAAGCAGGGCTTGTCAGACCGGTTGGCTTGCTAGGGCTCAGCCTGCCCATGGAGACTCAGGCTAGGAGCAGGAAAGGTCATCAGAGGGCTTGAATCAGCTGTGTGCCATCCTGCCTTTTTGCAGTTCAGTGAACTTGGACTTCAGACTGACCTGGCTCTAGAGAACACTCTGTTAAAGAGCATCAGCCTCAGGGCCCAGCATGTGCTCTTTGCTTAGGACAGGAGATCAGGGCCCCCAGTGTTTTTGTTCATTAAGAGTAAAACATGCTTCTGATTTGGGAAGGAGGGAAAATACCCCCAGTTCCCCTGTGCAGAAGCAAGATTAATTCTCTGTAGCCCAACAGAGGCTCACAGCTCTAAAGGGGCGCTGTCCACCCACTTCATGACAAAGCTGGTCTCCTGGCAAGTCCCACTACCACTTCCCCAGGCAGGTGGGAGGGAAGGGGAGGAGCCCTCTTTCAACCTATGAATCATAATGAAAGCAGCCCTTCCATCCAGCAGATGTTTTGCTATTAGGCCAGCTCTAAGGAGAACTAGGAATGTGTCAGTGCATGAAAAAGTCATTTGCAGTTGTTAAGCCCTTGTGAGTTATGCATGAGCTGTGACGTGTTAAGAATGAAAACAAGCTCGGTAAAAGCATGTTATCCAGGTGGCCCCATCACTGTGCATCATACCTGTAAAGCAGAACAATCTTTTGCTTCACTTGATCACGTGAATGTTAATTCAAACAGCTAGTGTCAGGCCAAGCATAGACATGCACTGGCCTTGGACCCAAATAACAATGGGCCCAGCAGTGTAGCAGGCTTAACCAGGTTGCTGAATCCAAACACCTCTAAGACCAGGTTGATCCTGACCTGAATCCATAACCAGATGTGGAGGTTAAAATCCAAACCTTAAACTGGTTCCAAAATTGTAGTGTGCATTCATCTTTAACATACAGTGGTCATTAACACTGTTTTACATGGCTTTACTTTTTGAGGAGCAAACTTTGTCCATCACACTGGTATAGATCTGAAGAACCTCTTCCAGTTACTCTACAGTGGTCTCCCAACATCCAATTTAAACAAAGCTGACTTCTGTGTAAAGCTTCCTAGACAGGAAGACATTCACACTCCCCAGGCATGATAGATGCCAGGGAGGACATTGGGTGTGTTAGAGTCAGGCCAAAGTCTTTTGTGTCTCATTTCAAACCTTCTGAATCACAGCGGGCTTGGAAGCTGGGCTCCAACATTACTAGGCTCAAATACTGCTAAGGAATAAAAACTATGGCAAAGAGAAAAACGAACTGAGGAGATGAGGGAGTGGGAGGACAGAAGAGCCCAGATTCTGATCTCAGTGACATCAAGGCAGGTCCAGAGGACCTCTGTTGACTTCAGGGTAGTCTGGGTTTATGTTGGCATAACTGAAGGCAGGATTCTACCTAGTGTGCACTGCATGCAGGGCACTACCCGCTACTAACCTAGCACTGCATGTGGATGGATGATAAGGACATTCATCCCTCCTCGGTGCAGGGTTTCCTTGACCTATGAAAATCTGTTTGTAAATGTGAGAGATCAACCAGCTTCTGACTGCAACAGATTCCTATATTACTGGTCAAAGGATACCTGGGCCCTCTGCTTCTCAGCAAGTGGATTCCTGGCCTCACCCTTTGTGAAACTCCCCACTCTCTCCTCTCCTTCCCCCAAATGCTTTCTAGATGCTGAAAAGAAATAGACGCTGGATCTGGGCTTTGACTGTCTGGGCCTGACCCTAGGCCTACTGTATTCAGTAGAAATAGGGTGCATCTACACAAGATGTTAAATGAGAAGTAGGCTAAGTCTACTGTACATTAGCACATCACAGCAAAAGCTCTGCTAATGCACAGTAGAATTAGTCTACTGCGTATTAGCATAAAAAAACCTGCACCAGTGCTACTGTACAGGAGCGCTGGTTACTGTGCATTCAGTTAGTACCTGTTATTATAGGAACTAAACTGAATGTGCAGTAACCACAGCACATTAATGAACATGTAGATGTGCCCAATAATTTCAGTAATTGAGCAGACTCAATAATTTCAGTGGGCTTTAGATCAGGTGTAATATCCCCCAGGTTGCACTTCAGATGCAGCTGAGAGGTCTTTTCTATCTACCTGGCATCCTGGTTTCACCTCTCTTTATGATTAAAGCAGGAAGTGATGATTATTTGATTAAGACTGGGACCCAGGAGTGGGCTTTATTTGTCCCTTTTAACAGAATCACTGGGTTAGAAGAGACTCCGCTGGTCTCTTCTGGTACCACAGGTCTCTCACTGATACCCTTCCCAGTGATATTGGGGTAGGCCCAGATGTAAAGGTTATTGCTTGTCTATGCTCTGGTCCAACCACAAAGGTACTGGGCTGGATACAGGAATGACAGAGTAGACCTCTTGAGTCTGCATTACACATGAGGTTAGACAGGATGGTCTGTTATGGCCCTGAAATCTCTGGTTGTCCCTGATCCTTTTCTCAAAGCTTTTTAGGTGTACAAAGCTTGGTGCTGAAATGTTTCTGGCTGCCAGCTGTATCAACCTTTGGCTCCAAGAAGGGCAGCCTTTTTACAGATGTTTATGCTATAGGACTGACCAACAAAAATGATGTCTGTCATTCCAGTTTGTACTCTGAATGTTTGATCTATTGTCTACTCTGTCAAACCCGCTGGTTTTTCATCACTGCATTGCTGGAGAGAAGAGGCTGCAGTGA